CAAAAGGTAAAAAAGTAAAGTAATTGATTTAGAGGTATAATTTTAAGTAATTATATAAAAATAACAAAAATACATGAAACTTAATTTTTCTTGAAAAGCAAACATAAAATATTAGTGAATAAATGAAAATTAAAATTAAACGTATTTTTTTAATAAAAATTAAAAAAACTTTCTTAAATTTAATTATTACATAATCTTCTATTAACAATTTCTTTTTTTTACTGTAATTAAGTTTATTGATTAAGTAGTGACGTTCGATCTTTATGGAAATTAATGATTTAAACAATACCCCTGATTGAAAACAGTATTGAAAAGTATTCATTTTCTCGGAAATCCAATCCGTTTCAATACCTTTTGGACAATTTTTTTAAACGAAGATGAAGACATTTGTCATCTAGCTTCTTCTTGAAGAAACACTTTAAAACGTTTGAAGCGTTAACACTGCACCTATTCGAAATCTAATAAAAATAAAATGTTAACTTCAATAAGCTATTTAGTAAATAAAATCTTTTCTTACTGCTTTCAGTTGCGTAAAAGTGACTATTCCAAAGAATTTCCTATTCCGCTTCTGAAAGTTGATCGAAAACTAAATTTCCCTCGCAAATGGTTCAAAATCTGAACAAAAGTTTTTTAGTGGTACTGATCTATTAAATAATGATTTTAAAATTTGTTTATTCTGAATTTCTAATGTCTTTTTTATCTAAACAAATTATAGAACCTTTATTTAATTAGTCAGTATCATTGAAAACTTCTATTGTAGCAAAATACTGAAATTTGGAACATTAATTTATCGGAAGAAACAAGATTTAATTTGTTTAATAATAATGTCAAATACTCAATATATTCACTTTGAACAAACTTTTCCAAATGAATTCATAAAGCTTGTCAAAATAGCGTATTATCTTCCTGTGACGAGTTTTAAAAAATTCATGAATGATAAATCATTTTCTACTAACTAGTGGCGTCTAATTTTAAATTTCCAAATTCATGTCAATAAATTTCTAATTCTTAACAAATTTGTAAATTTTTATAGCATTTGAAGATCGGTGGTGACAGGTTCGGTAGTAGAATATTACAATGGAAAACCTATAATAAAATAATTGTAGTTTGCAAACTTCTTTTTATGTAAAGTAGTTTTATTTTGGATTTGGAATGTCGTGCACATCTAGTAGGCTTAAATATTTTTAATGTTATTTCGTTATTACTTTCAAATTTTGATAAAATATTCAAAATTCAAACTTGATTTTCAAAATTAAAACTAAAAAAAAATTACGTAAAAACTTTAGGACAGAAATGTCTACCAGACCACTATTGTTTCTAGAGACAGAAACTTTAGAAAATCTAAAGATCACTTAATAATTCAATTTTTCAAAAAAAAGATAGGGTGAGGATATTTTTATCTGAAATCATTTATGAAAAATTCAGAAAATTATAGATGATTAGATAGAAAAATTACTATAACTTGCCCTACGGGTAGTTAATAATTAGAATGATAAATAGCTATTCTTCTAATTTTATGAATTTTTATATTTTGTGATAAAAAATTTCTTCTTAGGAGGGCCCCAAACAAATTTTGATACGAGGCCACGCGAAGGCGCGCTACGCCCATGATATTGAGAAAAGAGTTCTTCACGTGTTTGTTTTTTTATCTTAAAAGTCGATAAAGTATAAATTACTATATATACAATAATAAATTCATTAATTCATTCTTGATATCATATTACATAAACTAAAGATTTTCCAATGCAGATCCATCGCATCTCTTTACCGCATAAAAGATAAAACACAATACTTTCGGCGGCGACTCCTTATTCGGCCGAATATATGTTCGATGCAAGCCTGGTTGAATAATTAACTCTGACTTTGAACTTAAAAAATATAAAATATAAGTTTCAAGTGAAATAAAATTTATGTACGATGTAAAAATGGATTTCTGAGTCCGCGGTTTCCTGGGCCGGGGCCCCCTTAGGTCGGGGGCCCGTGGCATTTTGCCACCCACGCCACCCTATAGTTACGCCACTGCTAACATCGTCTGTCAACACTATAAATTATTAAATCTAAATAACTTCGCGCAAGCTAATTCTCTGGTTGTTTATATTTGTGTATTTCTTATGTGAGCACTATGTAAATCATCGTTCTTTTTGGAAATACATACGAGTGGGGATCTTAACGTATCGAAACAGTAATTAAATATTCGAGGAATAAAAGTAATCAATGATCAATAAAAATTGATCAATGAGAAATAACAATGAGATAATAACAAAAACTGTTAATTTGAAACTAATCATTGTTTCACACCGTCAACACAAGCAATATATTTTTTTAAACATTCTATCGGGATGATCAGTTCTTTCAAATAAAATTGATAACCTTTTAAACGTTTTTTGTATCTCCGAAACCGCTAAATCTGCCTTTGACAATTTATCAACACGAATCGAATGTTTTTTTAAATCCTTTAAATCGGTTGATCCGCTCTGATGTCGTCGACAAAAAATTAAAGCGTCTTAAAAAACGATATTTTGACATTTTTGAACCAATTTTAAAAATTCAAAAACTGATCGAAAGTTTTCAGTTGGCGATCGTGCTGAATTGTTTTTCGTCAAGATCGACCGCACAGTTTCTTCGTAATTTATTATAAAAATATTTTTTCAAAAAAAACTTGTTAGTCATCTAACATAAATTTTATGGAACTACGATAAATGATTAATTATAAAAAGTCATTAAATTTTAGAATAATAGGACGAGCTTTTAGACCATGTCTACCTACTATGTGATGTTCGGATTTGTGCACTCAAATTAGTATGAACATAGATTTTTTAAATCTAATTAATCACTTGCAGATTGCAAAATTTTATCTAATTAGTTATTAAGTCGGTGATTTCCAACCATTTTTTATTCATAATGATCGAAAAAACATAAAATTTGTTAGTCAAATGGTTGGGCAAAAGGAAACTTTTTCGCGATAATTATTTAATTTTAGTGCTTTTCTAATAGCTGGAGAACAAACCATTTTTGCCGAAGAGTTTGTTTATTTTAACTTGTGTAATTTTTGTCTATTTCAATTGGTGTATTTATCTGATTAAAAATAAATCTCATATACAGTTATAGTAATCGCAAAAAAATCTAAAACAAAAATTTTTATATATCTTCAAAGATTTCTGAACATTTTGGCAAATTTTCGTCGACGATTTCGCGACCATGGATCAACCAATTTGAAAAATTCAGAAAACATTTGACATGTATTAAAGTAAGAAGACGTGCTGATTAGGTTTTAACGAAGGCAGGATAAGCCGTTTTGAAGATACGGGACAAAAAGTGCCAAACTGATTAAATTTTTAGGAAGGCAGGTCCAGCGGTTTTGGAAATCCAGTAGAAAAGCACAACAAAAGCCATTTGGCATATGCACATCAAATTCTCAGATATTTTATAAAGATTTTAATTAATAGTGAGTTAAGTTAGACTGCAACGCGGCGTTTACGCGCTTCGATATTTCGTCTCTAAGCAGCTAACGCAATGTGATTGCTTTGAAAAAAAGTTCGAAATTTTCAACAAAATATTTCAAATTAAAAAAAGTCAATTTCTTTCACTTTTCAAATTTTTTCAAAGCTTTTCAAAAGTTTAAATTACGGCACGAAAAGTTTCAGCAATTTGCCTTTAGGCACGATGCCATGTACCACTAGCAACTTGCAACTAGCAAAAAAGGGGGGCCTCGCAAACGAATTTCGCCGACGCCCACGAATGGTCTAGCGCCGCCACTGTATATATATATATATATATATATATATATATATAGATCATAAATATTTATTTTAATTACTATACTGGAGTATTCTTTGTAACATTATATTTATTCAAATATAATGTTATAAAAGTGTATAGTTATAAAAGTATTGATCAATGCAATATAATTATATATTGCATTTAACAATATTTTCATTATTTATTTTATATTAGTTATTATTATATTACTGATGGTCAAAATGGATCAAAATGATGAAATTAAATAAATTTGCAAATGTATTAAATTCTATCATTTCCACCGCTAATATCTCAAAAGCAAATAAAGTTAAGAATTTTTTAACAACAAATACGACGTATCAGGAGATAAACTACAATGTTTGTAATCCTTACAAATGTATTTTTATTTATTGTTAGTTTTTTGGTGCTCACATTGTTGTTTTTTAATGCTCACATTGTTGTTATTTTTACGACACCTTAATATATTTTTTTAATATACATTATTCAGTTGTTTTGTTAATTTTAAGTTAGATTCTACATGTTTTTTTATATGACCTCGTGGCTTACAACTGGGGGGGAGGGGTAAAAAGTACCAACTGAACCTTTTTTTCCTGACAAAGGTGCCAAGAATAAAAAATAGTTCATAAAAAGTAAATTAAATTTAAGAAGGTAATTAAAGAGATAAATTAAATAAATAGTTTTTCAACTCTGCATTTCTGACAAAATACTAGATTAAGATTATATACAGTTATATCTCTGTAAAAATGTACTTACGGAATTTATATTTTGCATTGGTTGAATAATGTATCTATTATTTCGTGAAATCCTTTCAAAACTAAAGAAAGGACCCCACCTATGTAGTAAAAAGGACTAGTGACAAATTTTGAAAAACAGCAAAAAAACACATTTTTACAATTAAGAATAATTAGCTGGAGTTTTACTGAACATAGCCAGGCAGTTGTTCGTCTGATATGTGTCATCTGTTGTGATGTAATTGGTTTGGTTTTCACAATATAATTATTCAAAGACAAATTGCACCTTTGTGCTTTGCCTTACCTACCCTTTATATAAACTAAGAGACACATATTTCTTATTTATTTAAATCGTAATCAGAATTTAAGGATAGCTGTTGTGATGATTTCACTAAACTACGTCACTTTTCAGAATACATCCCAACGGCCGCCTTATCTCTAATTAATAGTAATACATAGTAATAAATAATAAATAGTAAGTAATACTGATAAATTTTTTTATTGATGCAGAAAAGTCGGGGGAGGACTATTTTCACTTGGAAACAATGCCATCTACCTGTCCAAGTGAAACCGATGTCACTACTGCTTGATTAAGATGTGATTAAGAGAAGAAACTGGAGCTTTTGATCGAAATTCTAAAATTCTATCAACGGCAGAGCCCTGATAGTCTAATGAGGTAAGTACAATATTTTCAATAAACTGTTCATAATGTCAGAACGGAATCGAAGCTATGAACTATGATTAAACAATGTATACGGTGTATTATATTAATCTCACTCTTATCTGATCGCAGCTGATATCAAATGATTCGACTTGTAATCTTTATTGTCATGTAAAACATTCTGCATTCAGCAATCGAAGGTCTTATCGACGGAATAAGGATATGTATATGGACGTACAATTTGCTCGAACGTTTTATTTTTATTTCATTTATTATTGATCCGTTGACATAATTAGTTCTCGTACGGTTGATTTATTCACATCCCTGAGGTCACAATACTAATAATAATATCGAAGATTAGTAAAGTGGTCAGTGGTGCGAAACACGATTCGCGTTTAGAAACTGCAGCTGTGAAGGACAGACACCCGCTCCAATGTTCCTTCGGAATTATTCAGTACCGTATCAAGCGCGATCGCACGCGCACATGTATTTCGCATGCCTCACTTTATTGCCTATTACGAAATCATCCTGCTGTATAGCGATTTTTTTACATTTATTGCTTTATAGAACAGATTTTGTATTATATTAACCTATTAATAAAAACACTAAGAATGTATATAGCGACACTGTATTCTTCTTTTAAGCGAGATTTATTACATTCTATTGGAACTTCTCGAAGGAGAAGTTTGTTTTCATGAAAAATCCGATTTGCTACTTTTATATTTTTTCGACGTTTCAAGCCATTCTAAATTAAATGAAAACAAATTTCAAAAAAGTGTGTATGTGTGTGTGAACAGATTTTTGACATTTCGTCGACGTTTTCTCAAAACGGCTGATTTCAAACATTTAAAAGCCTTTTTATGTAAATGGATAAAAACTTGCGTTTCTCAAATTTGCGCAACGACCGGCCAAGCCTTTTCTTCGTAAATAGTATAAAAGTGAAAAATATTTTTGCCACGTTTTAGCCCGCAATTCTCAATCTATTTTAAAAATTCAAAAACTGTTCGAAAAATATGGATTGGAAATCAACCTAATTCGTTTTTGGTAAAAGTTCTTGTAATTAACCGTTGAATTTTATTTTGACTATTTTTATGATTTTTTTTGGTGATAGATATCATGATCTTCCAGATCATACTAAAATTCCACGACTCTGCGACAAGTCGTTTAATTATAAAAGATTGTCAAAGTTTGAAAAAATATGATTTGTGTCAAAGGTCGTTTTTGTGAATTCACAAATTTAAAAGCTATTTTTTTGTGTTAGCGGAAAAGTAAGTCTACGAAACTTATCTAGTTGTATGAAAAATGTCACCATTAATTTAAATCATTATTAAATAATATTAAGGGTTATGTACATGATATATGTAATCAATTGAAAATTTTAACTAAATATCTAAATCACAATTTCGGTTAATTAAGTCAATTATTACACATTTTGGGAAGTTCATGCAACTTGCCTTAATCAAAATGCCACTTTCAACTAGTCTTAATTTTTATTCAAATTTATTTTTACAATTTTTATATTTTTTAGTTGTTAGAGTAGTATTACCTTAATTTTTAGCTTCCCGTAGGGCAAGTTATAGTAATTGTTATAGTTTCAAAGGTTTCTGAATATTTTGGCATACCTTAGAAAAAAATGGATGTACGTGTGTATGTGTGTGTGTGTATGTGTGTATGTGTGTGCGGATACAAATTTTCGTCGACGATTTCGGGAACACCGATCAGCAGATTTGTATAATTCAAAAAACATTCGATTCGCATTGATAAGGAGACGTGCTGATCAGTTTTTGGCAAAGGCAGATCTAGCCGTTCCGAAGATACGGGGCAAAAAGTGCTAAAAATGGTAACTCAGTTTTTAAGAGAACGGAGCGTCCGATTTTAATAATAAACATATTTTACTTGTATTAACAAGATGAAGAATTGATCAAATTTTCATGAAGGCAGGATTCATCATTTTAAAAATGTTAATCGGTTTTAAAAAAATAATAATTTTTGGTTCGGGAAGCTCCAGTAATTTGCCTTAAGGCACAATGCCATGCGCCCCACTAGTTTCATTTTTAATAATAGGCTTCGAAGTATGAAATTATAAGGAAAATACGGACGAAATGGTGTATATGGACAAAATGACACAGTGACCTTATCCAAAAATTAGCTAGTTTTATTAACGTTTTTCCGGCTGTATAACATGAAGAAAGCTATAATAACAAACCTGTCAGATGTTGGCATCATTGTCACAGTATTGTCAAACATATCTCGCGCCTTCAATGGTGGTTTTGTCAATAATCAGCTGTTTGGTGGAAATCTGATTAATTATTCTTTTTTTTTCAATTTCGGATAAAATGTCAGTACTATTTTGCAAGCATTACAGGGCCAAGAAAAAAATTAAAACCTATCAAATATGATTGGCTTTTAATTTCAACTTCAAGTATGCAAGAAATAATTGCTAAAATTATAGCAAAAAATTCACTAACATAAAGAAGAGACTTGCATTTGTTTCAAAACACTCCTTTTCCCGTTCTGAGTCCGGCGAAAATTGGGTATGATGTATGACTTGGTACCCTTTGGTTCATGCTTTATGTGTTACCGTCGCAAAAAAAATAAAACGATTTATTTGCCAATTGATATCTTAAATATTAGCATTTTAGTATGTCCTTACTACCCTATATATTTAGTATCCTATATATTTAGAATGTCCTTATATGTCATTGGGTTCGTACTATGTGAACAAAATAGTTTTTGTAATTAGTTGCATTTTTCCTTTATTTTGATCGTACTTTCCCTATATATACTTCATCATCATTTTTTTTCATATTATTTGATTAGGAATCAGCATTTAATCTTCTGTGATGATTTGACGTCGGTTTTAAAAATGACGATCTAGAGAGTTGTCCTTTCTCTATGTCGTGAATTTTATTATTACAATTTGATGAATTATTTATTGGTGCAGCAATACCATGTAACATCATTTTTCACTTTTATATTTCCAAGTAAAAACCAATGATGCTACTCTATATCAGACTGTCCGAGGCAGGTATCGAATCTGTGACCTATGATTGAAATCCTTTAATTTTAATCCTAATTATCAAAACAAAATATGCACACTAATAACAAAACGATACAGGTATCTACTTGATATAAAATACATGTAGAGAAATTCCTTATTATTATCATACAAATTATTTTATTGCAGTTATGTTCAAATTATTAATGTAATATTTCTTGTAAAATTATATTAACAATTTTCATTATCTACTTGTAAAATACAAATACAAATCAAATAACCAATTTTCTTTCATGCAGAGGTCACTTTTTTGTACCTGTTTTTTTTTCAGCCTAATTTTTATGACTAATTATTTTGTATAAATGAACCACTTCTTATAGGCCTATAATATTTCAAAGAGTTTCGACTATCGACAAAGAGAGTCGACTATCAATACTATTACCATGGAAAGTATCATCAAAATTTTAGAAAGTAAACCTGGCGTTATCCTAGTATATAATACCAGACTAGTAATATAAGCATTAACTACCGCGGGCCAAGAAATTTTTTGAAAAATATTTTTTTAGTTTACCAGCTTATTTTGCGATGTGGTCGAATTGTAAACACTAAATGTATGTAGTAATTTGTGTGCAAATTTTGAATAGTTTAATTTTTAGTAATTTAGTTTGTTTATTTTTTTCTTTACTTTTGAAATGTATAGTTTCATAATAAAATTATGGAATAATAATATTCAGAAGCATTACTATACAAATTATTCTTGGTGCATATGCACGTATCAAGAAAAAAATAGGCACGGGCTCGATAGGTTGTCATTTCCCACCAATCTTAATATATGAAACTTTTTTCTTTGCATCTTCACATTTTAGGTGATCAAATTTTTATTTTTAAATTCGCAGAGTGTTATCTTTTATTATTATTTATCTTTTATTATTATTCAATTTATATTTGGTTTATTTACATTTGATTTTGGTCAAAAACCTTAAGATTTGTTTACAAACTTCTACTGACGTCAATATAGGATATATTGACTCTCTAAATTCTGAATATAGTTCATTTTGATTATTTTTTACAATATGATTTTTTTATTTTTACCCATGCTCTTCAGTTTTGTCATCAGAGCTATTTATGGAAGCTTTATGCACAACTTTTACAGCTTGTCTTAAAATATTTGAAACATTCAACTAAAAATAGAAAATGTTTTTATTATAGTTATTATTATTAAATGAATTTATAATTAAATAATTAACATAATAAGGAAAAAATATGGTAAAAATTAAACTACAATTTCTATAGTGATTTGGATAGTTTTTGTATGTAATTCTGTTTTTAGAAAAAAATTTTTTCCACCTTCGTTTTAAATAAACATACATTTACTGTACGCGAAAATATCACAAAAGTTATATGATTCTTGAAGAAATCTTTATTGAGACGCTCTATAAGATTTTTCAAAGAGCGTCAAAGATGTAGCAAAATTTTTATACTCATCTATTTGACACATAAATAGCGTTTTTGCAGGATTAGATTTATAAAATTAGTAGTAAAAGTTTTTGATTTGTTTAATATTCGGATAACTTCTTTAAAAATTAGAACAACAATTTAAATTAAAAGAAACTCTTTTCAGTCAATTTTTTAATTACTACTATTTTAATTTCTATTGATATAATATATTATATTAGCAATCGAAGCAAAGAGAATAAAATAATGTTGTTTATAAATATGGGTTCATTTTTAATTATTTTTAAACATCTTTGTCCAATGTTAGCTAACTTCATATTTCAATAGATATTACAATAAATTAATTCATTTTTTTGTGTATTAAGTTGCTCCTAAGTAAATGGCTAGAGCGACGGGATCTGAATCAGAGGTCCCTCTTTGATGACCACTTCGAGCAGCCTGATGACCGCTTCAAGCACTAGTGACGGTTTTCTCTTGAAAATATAGATAACAATATGGTTCCAAGTCGACATTGTTGCATAAATAAATATTTTTTTAACAATAATATTTGAAAAAGTTTTAA